TTTTTTTTGGCTATGTCTGAGCAGGTGGGCTGTGTGTTCTTTGTTGTTTGCTCGTCTGTGGGCACTATACTTTTCACCTCCTTCCTCTAGTTGGCAGGGTCAGTTGCTAATATATGGTACAGCAGGACAAGTCTAGCTCAAGAGGAGTTGCTGGGATGGGTTGTTTGTGGCACTTACTACAGCCACCAGGGCAGGTTGGTAATCAGTGCAGGGCAGTTCCGGTAGGCCGTGCCTGTGCTGCTTGGTGGTGTGATGTTAAGCACATGGTGCAGGTAGGCAGGATGGAGGGGGGAGATTGTGATGTGTGGAGCTAAGATGGGTATGGGAGAGAGGAGAGAGGAATAGGAGCCAAAAACATAAAAACAAAAAAGTGTGCTAGGGGAGCTTGCAGTTGGATTGGAGAGATGAGAGACTACGAAATGGAGAAAAACAAAAACGGGAAGAAGAAAAAAACAAAAGAATGAATAAATAAAAATTAGAAAGAAAAAAGAACAGCAAAGCTCCTAGGGATCCCCGGGTACAGCTAACGGGTCTGCAGAAGTTGTTCCCAGGTGTTGAAGTACAGCCTGGCTAGGAGATGTAGAGGTATTCAGTGCCAGGTATCCAGGGGATAGGAAGAGAAGGAAGGTATAGAGAGATGAGAAACTGAGTAATGAAGAAAGACAAAAAGGGGAAAAGAAAACAAAACAAATTTAAAAAAAGAAAAGAACAAGAAACCTTCCCCCAAAAAACAGAAAAATAAAAACCCACAAAAAAAAAATGCGCTCAGGGATCCCTCTGTGCATCTGTGCAAGCTGAGGGGGTAGGTCCCAAGCTGCACAGCACTGCTCAGCCAGATCGGGCTCCCAACTGAAGGAAAGAAAAAGAAAAACAAACAATTGAAAACAAACAAACAAACAAAAAGCCCCGGGATCCCACCGGTGTGGCAGCATGGACCGGGAAGCAGCCCCACACTCGAAGAGAGCTCCACAGCCCCTCAGGAAGAAGCAAAGATGGTGCACGGAGCCAGGTATTTGAGCAAAAAGAGGGGAGGTGGTGATAGGTAAGGAAGAAATGAAAAGAAGTAGTAAAAAGCAACACCAGCAGCCAACAAACAGCACTCATGGAGTCGGCCAGTGCAGGCAGGTGGAATCCAAGCAGCTGGTGCTTCCCGGCCAAGAGACTGTGGCTGCGGGAAGGAGGGGAGGCCGAGTGGGGGTGAAGAGGTGTAGGGGGGTGGGAAAGCGTACATCGCTGTTTACCAGTTGTTCTGTCTCCTGCCGGAAGCTCCATGAAGCTGCCTTCTCCTACCCCCTATTTACTGGTTTCTGATAGGAGTCCAAGATGGCGGATCCATGCTGCATTAGCTGATAGGGGACCTCTCCATGTATGTCTCCTTGCTCTCTGTTCTCTGTCAGTTTCTTATTCCATTTGGTGCTTGGCTGAGTTCTTTATCTCTTCATTTGATGTTCAGGATTTCAGGATTGCTGTTTTCTGTGTTTGGCGTAGTTTTTCAGATATTTGCTGTAGAGGGACAGCGTGGTGCTTCTGCCTAGAGCGCCGTGTTGCAGAAAGTTCCTTCCATGTGATGATATTGTTCAATAATTTCCACATTCGGTAGGATCACCTTTCTTAGGAATAGGCATAAATATGGATCACTTCCAGTTGGTTGGCCAGGTTGCTGTCTTCCAAATTTCTTCACATAGATGAGTGAGTACTTCCTGTGCGGCATCCACTTGTTGAAACATCTCAATTGGTATTCCATCAATTCCTGGAGCCTTGTTTTTCACCAACGCCTTCAGTGCAGCTTGAACTTCTTTCTTCAGTACCATTGGTTCCTGCTCATATGGTGCCTCCTGAAATGGTTGAACGTGACCAATTCTTTTTGGTATAGTGACTCTGTGTATTCCTTCCATCATCTTTTGATGCTTCCTGTGTCGTTTAATATTTTGCCCATAGAATCCTTCACTATTTCAACTCGAGGCTTGAATTTTTTCTTCAGTTCTTTCAGATTGAGAAATGCAGAGCATGTCCTTCCCTTTTGGTTTTTCATCCAGTTCTTTTCCCATGTGATTATAATGCTTTGTCTTCTCGAGCTGCCTTTTGAAATCTTCTGTTCAGCTCTTTCACTTCATCATTTCTTCCTTTCACTTTAGCTACTCGACATTCACGAGCAAGTTTCAGGCGTTGCTCAAGATGGCAAGGCAACAAGTCCTGAATTCTAGCAAGCCTGGAGGGAGTCTATGTTTCCTCTGCCAACTAATAAGATTTATGTTCTTCTAATTCCTTTTTAAACTTCTTCGTTAAGTTCTGCATTCATTTGTTCTTGATTTCTAACATGAAGTGTCTCCTTTTCACTTCCACCATTTCAGTCCTTCAGTTTCTCTCTCTAGACTATTGGAATGGTCTTAATAATCTGTTTTATCTTCTTAGAAAGCCACTCTGCAAACTCTTAATTTAGAGTTCAAAAAACTTAAGTGATTTCCAGTTACAAAAAAACCAAATCTGTACGTCTCCATAGCTCATACTTTATTGAAATGTAGATTATTACATATATTAATGACTTGAGTACAAAGGAAACGGTAGGACATAAATTCCACTCAAATACTATTAGAGAATTAAAGTTGAGTTTTGCATATATTTTATTTATATTTTAATTAATCAGGAAGTGGCTACTAATTTTTCCAAGAAAAAATGATAGTGGTGCCATTGTTTTAGCAGTATGCTCAGCTACTAACCAAAAGGTCTGCAGTTCAAACCCATCAGCTGCTCTGTGGGAGAAAGATGTGGCAGCCTACTTCTGTAAAGACTGTCGTTGTTGTTGTTAGGTGCCATCAAGTTGGTTCTGACTCAAACCCTATGGGGCAGTTCTACTCTGTTCTATAGGGTTACTCTGAGTAGAGTCAACTCCACCGCAACAGCATTATATAGTTGCCTATGTGAAATATAGGACGTGGAACAAGGGATGTCATTGCTGATGCCAGGTGGAGCTTAGCTAAAAGCACAGAATACCAGAAAGTTTACCTGTGTTTTATTGACTATGCAAAGATATTCGACTGTGTGGATCATAACAAATTATGGATAACATTGCAAAGAATGAGAATTCCAGAACTCTTAATTGTGCTCATGAGGAACCTGTACCTAGACCAAGAGGCAGTCGTTCAAACAGAACAAGGGGATGCTGCGTGGTTGAAAGTCAGGAAAGATGTGTGTCAAGGTTGTACCCTTTCACCATATGTATTTATTCAATCTGTGTGCTGAGCAAATAATCCGACAAACTGGACTATATGAAGAAGAACGGGGCATCAGGATTGGAGGAAGACTCATTAACAACTTGCGATATGCAGATGACACAACCTTGCTTGCTGAAAGTGAAGAAGACTTGAAGCACTTACTGATGAAGATCAAAGACCACAGCCTTCATTATGGACTACATCTCAACATAAAGAAAACAAATATCCTCACAACTGGGTTAATAAGAAACATCATGATAAACGGAGAAAAGATCGAAGTCATCAAGCGTTTCATTTTACTTGGATTCACAATCAACACCCATAGAAGCAGCAGTCAAGAAATCAAGCGATGTGTTGCATTGGGTAAATCTGCTGCAAAAGACCTCTTTAAAGTGTTAAAAAGCAAAGATGTCACTTTGAGGACTAAGGTGCACCTGACCCAAGCCATGGTGTGTTCTATTGCCTCATGCGTGAGTAAAGCTGGACAATGAACAAGGAAGACCAAAGAAGAACTGATGCCTTTGAATTACAGTGTTGGCGAAGAATATTGAATATACCATGGACTGCTAGAAGAGTGAACAAATATGTCCTGAAAGAAATACAGCCAGACTGCTCCTTGGAATCAAGGATGGTGAGAATTGTCTCACGTACTTTGGACATGTTATCAGGGGGCACATCATGCTTGGTAAAGTAGAGGGTCAGAAAAAAAGAGGAAGACCCTCAACAAGATGGATTAACAGTGGCTGAAACAATGGGCTCAAACATAGCAACAATTGTGAGGATGGCACAGGATCAGGCAGTGTCTCGTTCTATTGTACATAGGGTCACTGTAAGTCGGAACTGACTCGATGGCACCCAACAGCAACAACATTTGAAATAAGTCCATTTCCAAAATCACAAAGTAAGCTGAAGGTAAAATTTTGTGGCTGTGTTTCAGTGCATTTGGGGGCTCCATAGCTCTCACTGATTTGTGAAAGAGGTTCAGGACCCTAAAAAAGGTTAAGAACTTAGATACGCAAGTAAGAAAGCATACTAAGAACAGCAACCAGTTTTGTTTTTAAAATTCTTCTACTGATAAACCTCTTGAGAGGGGCGTGTTGCAGCCACTGCGACACTCGTCCAACGCGGAAGAGCGCGATGCAATGATCAGGACAACAGCGGGACTTTTATGGGCGGGATAGAGAAGGGGGCTAGGCACACAGCTGAAGGACGTTTATAGGCAAGACTGCTCAGTGGGCGAGGCCCGCCGACAGCCCGCCCGCCTGCGCCCCGCCTACTGCAGCGCGGCCGGCGGGAGTCGCTTCCGTAGCGCTTGCCGATCCTCACAGTTAGAGCTATGACCGCGCGCCTCCTCCGCGGGTGCCTGCGCCTCTGGGGCGGCCGCTGTGCGCTGCGCCCGCCGCCGGATGCGAGGTGAGTGCGGGCCGCGGGAGGCTGCCGGGCGGGTGCGGCTAGGCCAACCCTTCCTGCGTATGCGGGAACGAGGTGGCGCTCGCGCGAGGGGACGGCCTCCCCAGCCAGGGTGTGGGCTCCGCCGGCAGCAGCGGGGAGGCCTCGGCCCTCAGTTCCCGGAACCCGGCCCCCAGAACGAGGCGCCGTCTCCAACGCGACGAAAGCAGGAAGAGAGGTTTCATGCAAAGTTCATCCTAGGCCCTGAAGGCTGCATTTTGAAGAGTTACCCTGGGGCAGGGGCGGGTGGCCAACCCCTGAGGGCAGCTTCAGGAGCTCGTGCTGCGCCCTTTGGCCTATTTTCTTGGACTCCAGAGAGGTGTGGCCGAGGGTGTCTGCTGCCTGGGATCAGACCCGCCACTGGATAGTGAACTTGGAAACCTCGAAGATCTGGAGAAGTGCCCGAGGCAGACATCCGTGGTCAGGAATTCTCTGGCGAGGACTCTGTCAGACAGAGGAATTAACTTTTAATTTATTAACAAATTCTTTACTTAATTAAATGCAGAGGAATTAGTAGAAGGAGCTTTTAAGTGGCTCAGTGAGAAGATGGTGTTCATTGCTTAAGCAAACTGGAAGCGCTGTTTAATGAGGGTGACAAGACAGGTAAACTAGCAAATTACAACATCCTGGTAAAATACTCTTTAAGATGCCGTGGGTACCCACTGTTCTAACCGGGATCACAATAGAGGGTCCTGGACAGAGCGGAGAAAAATGTAAAAAAAAAATCAAATCCAAAAAAAAAAAAAAAAAGACCAGACTTACTGGCTCGATAGAAACTAGAGGAACCCTGAGACTATGACCCTAAGACACCCCTTTAACTTGGAACTGCAGCTGTTCCTGGAAACCACCTTCCAGCCAAACCCCAGACAGGCCTATAAAATAAACTACGTGTGTTCTATTGACTATGTAAAGGCATTCGATTGTGTGGATCAGAACAAATTATGGATAACATTGTGAAGAATGGATCCACAATCAACACCCATGGAAGCAGCAGTCAGGAAATCAAAAACAGCATTGCAATGGGCAAAATCTGCTGCAAAAGACCTCTTTAAAGTGTTGAAAAGCAAAGACGTCACCTTGAAGACTAAGGTGCCCCTGACCCTAGCCCTGGTATTTTCAGTCACATCATATGCATATGAAAGCTAGACAGTGAATAAGAAAGACTGAAGAAAAATTGACGCCTTTGAATTGTGGTGTTGGCGAAGAATATTGAATATACCATGGACTGCCAGAAGAACGAACGAATCTGTCTTGGGAAAAGTACAACCAGAACGCTCCTTAGAAGGAAGGATAGCAAGATTTTCTAGGCTGTAATCTTTTTGGAGCAGATTGCCAGGTCTTTTCTACTGTGGAGCCGCCAGGTGGGTTCAAACTGCAGACATTTTGGTTAGCAGCCAAGTGCTTAACCATTACACCACCAGGGTTCCTTCCTAGCCAAGAAAATCCTATGGAGCAGTTCTACTCTGTAACACACGGGGTCACCATGAGTCAGAATCAACTGGATGGCTTTTTTTTTTTTTAGATAGATGAGTATAATCCACATAAATAATCTTTGGCGTCCTCTAATTTTAAGACTGTCTCTGGATGGTGCAAATGTTTAAGTGCTTGGCTGCTGACCAAAAGGTTGGCAGTTTGAATCCACTCAGAGGTGCCTTGGAAGAAAAGCCGGGGAATCTACTTCCGAAAAATCAGCCATTGAAAACTCTGTGAATGACAGTTCTACTCTGACACACATGGGGACACTATAAGTTTATAGTAATTGTTTTTTTTTTTTTTTTTAATTTCAAGAGTGAAAAGGGGTCTGGGCACCAAAAAGTTTTGAGGATCACTGTCTTATGAAGTCCCAGGGAAGAGATTAGACATGTATATGTATCTTGAAGTAAAGTCACCGCTTCCATGAAGTCCTCCCAAACTTCCCAAGGAAGAGCAGGCATTTTGTTTGCCCCATCCCATGGCATGTTTTTTTTAAATGGGTACATTTTATTGCATGTAAATCATACCTCAAAAAAGAAATGCACTAACATATACACACATATACACACACGGGAAAAGGACTATCAAACAATGTTAAGTAAAAAGTACAGTAGAAGGAGAGGTACAGGGACTGCTTTTTTTTTTCATCATTCTAAGCCTTCAGCAAATTGATTTTTAAAAGTCATGTTCTTGTATTTCTTTACCGAAAAAAAAACACAAGCAAAAATAAAGGCGAGGAGGTGGATTTGGAATGTAGACAACTCTTTTGAGAAGCTTTGTACTGAAGAAGAGCAGAGAAAGGGCTTTGATTGGAGGCAATATAATCTCAATTGTAAGTTGCATGTAAAAAAGATAAGCATACATCAGAATGACACAAAATACACATTAGATAAAAATACATAAACTAGAACAAAATAGTCCATTTTAGAAAAAAAAAAAACGGAAACAATCTAAATGCCCAACAAATGACTGAATAAGCAATAATAATATATTAGCCTAATTGACTATAACCTTTAAAAATAGTAATTAGGAAGACCTTAGAAATATAATGTTTATTTAAAAACTTCAGATAACAACAACTTTAAGTCTACTGTGATTAAATTTTCATGACCATGTCTTTTCTGGACAAAGACTAAAAAAAAAAAGTAGGACCCAACTAGAAAGAGAGAAATTTAAAACAGAATTTATTGCAAAATAGAAAAACATGCTTTGACAATATTTGAGGATATGGGGGAAAAAAAAAAAACTTTTTTGGGTGAACTTGAAAATGCTCAAAGTGGTACACAGTTTTTCAGAATTCTTTTCAGGGATACCAGTGTGTGGGGAGTAAGGGTGGGCAGTGTTTGAGGGCACCATTGAACTAAGGGAACTACAGGACAGTCTCATTTTGAGCGTGGCATGTTAAAGTAGGGTCAGTTCCTGAAGGTCTTGAATAATTCAACACTAATACTTAGAACATTGGCGGGCATTTTGATATATACCCAGAGTGGCTCTGTAATGTGGCAGTAACATCAATACAGCTTATAGTTTCATAACACCTGCTGTTTGAAATTGTGTGATTCTGGATAAAATAATAATTTTGGAGGGTCTGCATTATTTTAAACATTGTGCATGACATGAAAACTTATCAATTAGCCCAATATTATACTATTTGGATTTTGCCTAATTTAATTCATATAGCATGTGACAAAACTGTATTTCACCTCAATTCAGACAAGTGGTTAGTTTTAGGCACTGTCTTCTTAATGGATCTGGAAATGGAGACTGAGTTAAAGGAGGGTAAGATGCTTCTTAATGACTTCCAGGGAAGGTAGATCCTGTCAAAAGTGGTGATGCTCAAATTTGCACCCAGGTTTGACCAACTTTAATCCCCCACTCTTTCTACCTGCCTCTAAAGTGTCTCTGGGGAAAAAAAATGAAGATATTTCCATGTTCAATAGAATTAATCTTCGATGTTCAGTGGCATTAATTTGGATACGAAGAGTAAATTTAACTTGTTTTTTTTTTAATGTTTTTTTTTTAAGATGTTCTCATTCTGGAGTTGAACAGCGTCTAGAAACTTCTTCTGCTAAAAAGTTAACAGATATAGGAATTAGACGAATTTTTTCTTCAGAGCATGACATTTTCCGGGCAAGTGTAAGGAAATTTTTTCAAGAAGAAGTGATTCCTCATCACACAGAGTAAGTGGCACATCTTCCTTAAATGTAATGTGCACTAGGAGTGTGATAAGTACCATTTTCTAGAATGCTGTATGTAGTTGTACAGGAAAAATACTGTTCTGTGCCTTATTAACACTTTTACTGCTCATCACCAAAATGTTCTAGGACCCAGGGGTTCTTAAGTTAGTTCAGAGCTCCTTTAATGGATTCTAAAATACACAATTCAAAAGTGAGAAAATTTTAGAAAATTTGCAATTTAATCTAAGAATAGTATTTTTTAAAACTGTGATTAAGTGGCAACAAAATATTAGTCAGTGAATTACCAGCAGTGGCTGTCGAGGTGATTCCAACACATGGCGACCCCGTATGTGTCAGAGTAGGACTGTGCTCCATAGGGTTTTCAGTGACTGATTTTCTTAGGCACCTCTGGGTGGACTCCAACTGCCAGCCTTTCAGTTAGCAGCTGATCAAGTTAAGTGTTTACACCACCCAGGCACTCCCACAAGTGAATTAAAATACATAAAAGCACAAAAGCCAACATAATGCAGATCTTTGTAGACAAATTGACTAACCTCGAAGTACTTTTCTGGATGAGATATTTATTGATTGATTAATCAATCACCTACTTTATTGACAGAAAGCTGTCATTTCTGTTAAAATAGGATCTTACCATGTTTCCAAAATTCACTTGATGACAGTACTATAATTAGAATAGTATTTTTAAATGATTTTAAAACCACTTGCATTTCAGTTTTTATTAATTTCTCTTGGTAAGGATAACTAAAATTAGCTAAACTAAAACCCTGGCTACTCTTTAGTGAAAAGCAACTAGCTTCTTATTAAAGACAAAAGAAATGTAGCACTTCACTTTAGAGAATCTTTTATTTCCTCATTGCTTTTAAACTTAGTCTCAGAAAAATTATTGGTGAGGCATTGAGGTAAAAATAGTAGAAGTTAGCAAATTTGGGGCTAATAATAAAAAAACATTTCCAGAGCTGCTTTTAGCAATAACTACATCAAAACACACATGATAGTCAAACTGTTTTAAAATTTCTTGTGGTATCTGTATCTTTAATCAGTACCTTGAAGCAGCCCCTTATCTTCCTATCTATATCTAACTACCACTTCAGAAAACAACAAAATAAAACAAAACTTCTCAGATTCCCTAATTATCTCCCGCTAGTCGTCTGTTTTCTCATCATGCCATTCTCATTGTTAAAGTAAAGCTGAGGTTGCATGGTGATTGTTAGTTGCTGTCAAGTTGGCTCCAACTCATGGCAACCTCATGTGTAACAGAAGAAAACATTGCCTGGTCCTGTGCCATCTTCATGATTGTTGATATGTTTGAGTCCGTTTCTGAAACGTTTACATATTTCACCCAAATACCTAATCTTTTCAGAAACTTCTTTGCAGCGCTATGCTGCAAGGTACTTCTGCCGATTTGTTCTTCCTGCTTATACCATAGTAAAGTTTCCTGTTCTTGTCAGCTTTTATATGCTTGTTCCATAAGTTAAGCACTTTAAGGAAATGCACAGAGCAGGATTACCTTTTCAGGGCAAGTTGGGCAAATTCCCATGACTATATAGCACAACTAAGCTTGCACCCTAAGAGCACCAGCTGAATGAAGCTACACCCAGGATTATCAGTGTATAATTTGCAAGTCCAATAAGTAGTCAAAAGAGAGGGACAAGAGAAAGTGGTAAATATGAAGAAGTAAGGGAGAGAAAGAAGAGGAGAAAAAAGAATTGAAGAGTCAGATGCAAATAGAAGGGTATGGTCCATGTCAACAACAATTGCCTTCAATTAAAGAAGCATTCCTGTATAAATCATTTATAAATTCGAAGTTACCACCTTTAAAATAATATGAGAAAAGTTTCTCTGATTTTTAAATATTTGTTATGTGCAGATGGGAGAAAGCTGGAGAAGTCAGTAGGGAGCTTTGGGAAAAAGCTGGAAAACAAGGACTGCTTGGTGTCAATATCGCAGAGCATCATGGTGGTCTTGGTGGGGACTTCTATTCGGCAGCTGTTGTTTCTGAAGAGCAGTAAGTATGGGGACATTTGAAGTTGAGTTGTTTGTTTTGTAAGCACATTGCTCACCTTTTTGAGATGATAAAAAAAATGCTTTCTGATCTTCTTGGAAGGTTGTAAATAGTCTAAATCGTGAAAGATTATACTACTCGTACTTTTACATTTTTTGAGGGAGAAGAAAAGGATGTCCACTTTTAAGTTGTTAAGATAGGAGTTGGTGAAAATTAAAGGGATAGCTTTATTTCTGATTGGCATAAGCAGTTATTTTCCCCTTTTAAAAAGATAATTGAAAGAAAACAGCAGAATGGGAAAATATTCTCATCAAATATGACAAAATATTAATATATAAGAAAAAGTCGGTATTTCAGTTGACAAATGGGCAAAAGATTTGAGCAAACAATTCATCAAAAAATAAATGCAAATTTTTTTTAAATAAAAAAGATTTATCTTTACAGTCAATCAAATGAAAATTAAATTAACCTGGAAATACCATTTTGAGTACCTACAAAATTAGTGAAAATAAAAAATCATAATACCCAGTACTGACAAGGTTGCAGTGAAAGTGACTTACTCATACACTCTTGGTGGCATTATAAATTAGAATGATAAATGCTTTGGGGATTAAAAATGAGATTATATATGTAAAAATAAAAATGTTTATGCTCTTTGACCTAAGAGCCTACTTTTGGGAGTTCATTGTTAGGAAATAATTTAATAAGAAAAATAGAACTTATGTGTAGAAATCATTATGTTAGATCATAATCTTTCACGTTTGAATGCAATCTAAATGTCCAGCAGTAGGAGAATGAATAAGTAAATTATGGGTATATAAAGAACTTGGAATGTTTTGTAGCTATTTTAGATTATGTAAAAAACGATATAAAACAGGATTTTTGTGTGTGATATAATTTAAAATTAAAACACAAGACATACACCATGACTACAGTTATATTAGAATATACCTTTATGACGAAGGTAATTTGCCAGAATGAAAAGAGTTGTTGTGTTGGAGTAATACAATTGTAGGTGATTAGTTTTATAAAGTATTTTATCTCTTAATTCATTAAATATATTTTAGAGCACTTTTCTTATGTTAGACAGCCTATTACCATACAATGTAATACGTTTTTGAATCTTTGTTGTTGTTTTAGTTGTTTTTTAATTTCAAATTGAAGAAACTAAACACAAAATAAAATAACTATTTCATGCTTTAAATTTTCTTTTCTTTTTTTTATCTCTAAGAGCATATTCAAATTGTACCGGCCCAGGCTTTAGTCTTCATTCAGACATTGTCATGCCCTATATTGCAAACTATGGCTCAGAAGAGCAGATTAAGTATTTCATCCCCCAGATGACTGCAGGCAAATGTATCGGTGCCATAGCAATGACAGAGCCTGGGGCTGGAAGGTAAGAGTAATGGAAGGATAGCAAATCAGTCAGATATTGAGAGAGTTGTAAAGGGGCCCTGTGGGTAAGGGGCTACAAGAATGGAGAAGTGTAGCAGCTGATGCAGAAGAATATTAGAGTGTTGAAGAATTATGGTAAGAAATAAAGAAAAAGCACATGGGAGGGAAAGAATAGAGGAGATGGGACATGGTTAATTTTGTCTCAAAAATGGATTGGCCACTCTTTGTATTCCTGCTTTGATTTATATAGGAATCAGACATCTTCTTTACAGTTCCAAATTTGTATTGTTATGTATACTTGTATATACATTTGTACTATGTATATATGTATGATGCAGTAAAATTTTATAATATAAATGCTTTTATGTCAGTTTTCTTATTTGGCAATCATATTAGTGTTGTTATTGTTAACTGCTGTTGAACAAAACATTGCCCAATCTTGCATCATCCTCACAATTGCCAGCAAATCACAGTAATATCATACAGAATATAGAGATATTAAGATCTCTATTGAAAGAGAAAGAAGGAAATGAGAAATAAAGTATTTTAACCAAGTTCATAAAGCAAGTTGGTGAACGCATTGGAGCTAGAATGTTCTGACATTAGCTGTGTGATCTTAGTCAGATCTCTGAGCCTCAATGTCTGTATCAGTGAAATTGAGATGATACGTAGTTAGTAGGAACACCGTGAGGGTCTGAATTCTTGACATTATTAAGTAATATATTGTAAAATTATTTTTAATATTTGGTTTTTACCACTTAAATATTTTTTAAAATCCAGAAACTGAACTAGTGTCATTACATTTATTACCTTTGATATATTCCTGTATAGAATTGTTTGTAATAAACTGTGTATATATTTTAGTAACTGATACTTTACACATACTTACAATGAAAATTATGATGTTAAAATATAACAATATGCAGCTTTAAAATGTTCACTATCAACATCCATCTTTTTGGTGAAAAACATGCTAGAGATTGATTCACAAGAACATATTAGAGGACATCCCTGTCATTCAGTGGCGTCACTAGGGTTGGTGTCAGTAGATCATGGTGTTACCCCCTCCATAGACCTTCTCCCTTACCAGACCATACAGAATCGTTAGTAATGTTTTTTGTACTAAGCTTACTCATAAATTGTAATTCCCGTATAGCACTCCCTTTCCTTTAATTACTACTTCATTCTCAAAAAAGTTATTGATATAGGTTCAAAAATACTAATTACCATAATATTATAGCTAAAACGCCAGAAAATTTGACAAAATCAGCGACTTTAAAAACACTGGCAGCAACAAAAAGAACAGTATGTGCTTGTAGCGCATGCAGACGAAAACACATGGTTTGAAGTGTCATTGTAATTGTGTAATAATGACTACTATGACCGGAGGGCATTAGAAGTTCAAAAAGTAAATTAGCATAGAGTTTTAGGCTTATAAATATATTGGTACATGTAAACCGGGGCTACTGCATGGTTTAAAGTTAGGAAAGGTGCGTCAGGGTTGTATCCTTTTATCATACTTTTCAATCTATATGCTAAGCAAATCTGAGAAGCTGGACTATATAAAGAAGAGCAGGGCATCAGGATTGAAGGAAGAGTCATTAATAACCTGCGTTATGCAGATGACACAAACTTGCTTGCTGAAAGTGAAGAGGACTTGAAGCACTTACTGATGAAGATCAAAGACCACAGCCTTCAATATGGATTACACCTCAACATAAAGAAAACAAAAATCCTCACAGCTGGACCAGTGAGCAACATCATGATAAATGGAGAAAAGATTGAAATTGTCAAGAATTCATTTTACTTGGATCCACAATCAACGCTTATGGAAGCAGTAGTCAAGAAATCAAAGGATGCATTACATTGGGCAAATCTGCTGCAAAAGACCTCTTTAAAGTGTTGAAAAGCAAAGATGTCACTTTAAGGACTAAGGTGTGCCTGACCCAAGCCATGGTGTTTTCAATCGCCTCATATGCATGTGAAAGCTGGATAAAGAATAAGGAAGACTGAAGATGAATTGATGCCTTTGAATTATGGTGTTGGTGAAGAATATTGAATATACCATGGCTAGACCAGAAGAACAAACAAATTTGTCTTAGAAGAAGTACAGCCGGAATGCTCATTAGAGGCAGGGATGGCAAGACTTTGTCTCACATACTTTGGACCTGTTATTGGGAGTGACTAGTCCCCAGAGAGGGACATCATGCTTGGTAAAGTAGAGGGTCGGCGAAAAAGAGGAAGACCCTCAATGAGATGGATTGGCACAGTGGCTGCAACAATGGGCTCAAGCATAACAACAATTGTGAGGATGGCACAGTGTTTTGTTCTGTTTTACATAGGATCGCTGTGAGTTGGAACTGACTCGATGGCACCTAACAACAACAACAAGCTGGGCTTACAAAAAATGTTTTGTTGTTATAAATAACTACAGGGATATTTTTTATAAAAAATAATGAATTTCTGCTGAAACACTGCACAAAAATTTTATAGGCAGTCATTATAGTGTCACCCCCTCTGACAATGTCACCCGGTACAGTCTACACCCCATGCACCCCCCCAGTGATGCTACTGCTGTCATTTAACACATCTTTCAGATAAATGACCCTGCATTATACAACTGTCTCCTTAAACTTACCTATAATGCTTGACACGATTAAGTTTGCAATGGAAAAGTTTTGAATTTGTGTTTCTAATGTCTTAGGGTGTTGGGGGTTCCCAGCACCACCCTAGGTTTGATGATTCACTAGAAGGACTCACAGGACTCAACATATAGTTATGCTCATAGCTATGATTGATTGTAGTGAAGGAATACAAAGCAAAATCAGCAAAGGAAAAGGCATATGGGGCAAAGTTCAGAGAAAACCAGGCACAAGTTTCCAAGAGTTTTCTCCCAGTGGAGTCACAGAGGATGCATTTATTTCCTCCAGCAATGAGATGTGACAACACATGTGAAATGTTACCTACCGGGAAAGCTAATTAGAGACTCAGTGCACAGGGTTTTTATTGGGGCCGGGTCCTATAGGCACCTTCTACCTAGCACATACCAGAATGCCATACTCCCAGAATGAAAGCAGATGTTCAGCATAAACCAATTGTTTTCACAAGCTGTTTAGGCTCAGTGAGTCATTATTATCAGGGAATGGTGGGAACCCTTCCAAAATCCAAGTTTGCAGAGGCCAACAAAATGCCAGTCTTGTAACTGGCCTAAGTATTGCAGCCTCAGGCCTGCTATGTTAACTCTTTTCTTCATAGTCTACCACCTTGCCCCAGGCATCTTTACAGCAAAATTATTATCAGTAAGATCTCACACAGCAAGGTAAAACCAACCTGCATAACCAACCGTTATGCTCTTTAACAGTCCTAGATTTAGCTAATTAAAACAAATCCCACTAACCATAAAGGTTTATCTTAAAAGGCCAGGTGACTTCCTCCTCAAATTTCTGTATTAACCTTTTTCATCTGACCTGAGGTATCAATTCAAGCATAGCACAACTGTTGCCAGTAAGTGGAAGTGACCTGAAAGCTTTCTAGAGCTGAGGCAGTGCCGTGATGGCAAGGTACACACAAAAAGTACCATCCCAGAGGGCACGTGGTACCCCTGGAAACAAAGAGTTTACAACTGTTAAGTCACGTGAGGAGAATGTGTATTCTGCTGTTGTTGGGTGGAATATTCTTTATATGTCTATTAAATCTGGTTGGTTTATAATGTTGTTGAAGTCTAATATTTCCTTATTAATTTTCTGTCTGGCTGTTCTATCCATTCTTGAAAGTGGGGTGATTGAAGTTTTCAACTGTTGATATTAAAGTCTTTATTTCTCTCTTCAAATCTGTCAGTATTTGCCTCATATATGTTGGGATGCTGTTGTTAGGTGCATATATGTTTATAACTGTTATATCTTCTTAGAGCATTGACCCTTTTATCAATATATAGGGGCCGTGGTGGCACAGTGGTTAAGCATTTGACTCCTGACCAAAAGATCAGCAGTTTGAATCCACCAGCTGCTCCTTGGAAACCCTATGGGGCAGTTCTACTCTCTCCTGTAGGGTCGCTATGAGTCAGAATTGACTCCACGGCAACAAGTTGTTGTGTTTTTTTGTTTTTTTTAATCAATATATAAAGTCTTTCTTTGTGTCTTCTAACAATTTTTATTTAAAGTCTATTTAGTCTGATAGTATAGCCACCCCAGCTCTCTTTTGGTTACTATTTTCATGGAGTATTTTTTTCCTCTCTTTACTTCAGCCTATTTTTATCTTTGGATTTAAAATGAATCTCTTGTAGACAATATACAGGTGGATCAATTTTTTTTTAATCCATTTGCCAATCGCTGCCTTTTGATTGGAATGTTTAATTCATTTATATTTAAAATAATTACTGATAAGGAAGGACTGCTTCTGCCATTTAGCTGTTTTCTGTGTCTTAAATCTTTTTTGTACCTCAGTTCCTCCATTACCACCTTCTGTTAATACTGATTTTATATTTGCCCATTTAATTACTTTTACTGGAGATCTTTATTTCTTTATACGCCTTTGAGTTATTTTCTAGTGTTCTTTTATTTCAAATTTCAAACTGCAGGACATCCTTTACCATTTCTTGTAGGGCATTTCTAGTGGTGATGGACTCTATTAGCTTTTGTTTAGCTGGGAGTGTCTTAATTTCTCCCTTATTTTTGAAGGACTCTTTTGCTGGATGTAGAATTCTTGGTTGACAGATTTTTTTCTTTCCTTTCAACATTATGAATATGCCATCCCACTGCCTTAATCATTTCTGATGAGAATTGATGCTTAATCTTATTGAGGATACCTTGTACATGACAAATAGCTTTTCTCTTGCTGCTTTCAAGATTCTTGCTTTGTCATTGGCTTTCTACAGTTTGATTGTAATGTGTCTCAGTGCGATCTCTTCGAGTTTATTCTACTGGAGTTTATTGAGCTTGGATATGCAGACTTATGTGTTTGATCAAATTTAGGAAGTTTTTGGTTATTATTTCTTCAAATACTCTTTCTGCTTTTTTCTTTCTCTCTTCTTCAGGAACCCTCATAATGCATATGTTAGTCCACTGGTTGGTGCTCAGTAGGTCCCTTAGGCTCTGTCTTAGGCTGAGTTCTCTAGAGGAGCAAAACCAGTGAAGTGTATATACATATAAATATATAGAGAGAAAGATTTATTTCAAGGAAGTGGCTCACACAGGTTTGGAGGCTGGCAAGTCCCAAATCCATGGGTCTGGCATCAGGCTGGAGGCTTCTTCTGACTCATGTAGTTGCAGGGGCTGATGAACCCAAAATCAACAGGTCACATGGCAGACTGCTGGCTCATGGAGCTGCAGGAGCTGGAAAGTTTCAAAATCTGCAGGTCAGAGGGAAGGCTGCTGGCTTACATCCAAGAACTGGAGGGCAGAGGATGACAATTCAGAAGCAGGATTGAGAGAGGGAGAGCTTTGCCAGAACATCCATATATATTGGATCTAGGCCACACCCCCAAGGAAACTTCCCTTTCAACTGATTGGCTGCTCACATCAGATCACAAAATGGAGTATGATTATATAATATCTGCCAAACCACTGAGAATCATGGCCTAGCCAAGTTGACACATAACCTTAATCATCACAGGCTGTGTTCACTTTTCTCATTCTTTTCCTTTCTGCCCCTCAGACTGGCTAATTCCAATTGTCCTATCTTCAAGTTCATTGATTCTTTTTCCTGCCTGTTCATATCTGCTGTTGAACTACTCTAGTGATTTTTTTTTTACTTTAGCTACTGTACTTTTTGGGTTCACAATTACTGTTAACTTCTTTTTTTATAATTTCTCTTTAATGATATTCCTCTAGTTCTTTGTCCATGTTTTTCTTCAGCTCCTTGAGCATATTTAAGTCAGCTAATTTAACGTCTTCTTCTAGTAAATTCAATGTCTGAGTTTCCTCAGGAATGATGTCTCTTGCTTTATTTTGTTCCTTTGAATGGGCCATCCTTTCTTGTTTCTCCATCTGCATTGTGATTTTTTCATTGAGAATGGGACATTTGAATATCATAATATAGTAACTCGGTAAATCAGATATACCTGTTTTCTCAGAGTTTGCTGGGTGATTTGTTTTGTTTTTGATTGTTGAAGGCTGCAGTAATCTGTTGGTTTAGTGGCTTTTCCAAATTATTTTTGCAAAAACCATATTCCTTGATGTGTGTCGTTACTGAAGTCTCTATTCCTTTAGCTCATGTTTGACTAGTGTTTTGACAGAGATTTCCTTGAATAGTAGGAGTTAAAAAGAAAAAACAAAAGAAAATTTAAAACAACAGGAAAAAAAAAAAAGACACCTCTCCCAGTCTGTACAGATTGGTTCTGTGCTGGGGCACTCCTTCAACACTTACCCATGCTTTCACTGAGCCTCAAGACTTAGGGTTTTCTCAGGTCTTTTCTGAGCATGTATCTTGCTCTGGGTATGGCATATACGCAGTGCTTTTGAATGCCCTAATTTCCCAAAGAAACTCTCTCCCTGGCTTTTCCTCCCAGACCTTAAGTGGTCTGTTGTATGTCTCAACCATACTCCTTTGCCCCGGGCAGCTATGGGTTGATCATTTGTGTTAGTGTTTTCTAGCAGTGCCCACCACTTTTTAGCCCTGAGTGAGTTCTCAGATAGGTGAAACTGATAGGAGCTCCCTATATCCACCTTCAGATAGTCCCCAGACAGGTTAGAACAGACAATCACAATAATTTGTGATTAAGGTCTGCTATGCTCCCTCCAGAACCAGGTACCAGGGTCCCACACTGGGATCACAAACTTTTGTCTTCAAGACTGTTGCCAACTGGGAAGGTGGTGAGGCACAGGTAAAAAGAACCACAAAGCTCTCCTACTATTTTTAAGGTGCCCTTTCCTTGAGTCAGTGTTGCCTTGAATATTGTAAATCTTTGACTATTTTACAGAGTTCTGGCAAAGTTGCTTCTGACAGTTGCTGCTTGTTTTTGGATGTTTTTATGCGTGGGAAGAGGGAGCTTGGAGCTGCCCATGATGCTGTCTTGCTGATCTCTTAATCAAATAGCTAAACTTTTGATGAGTAGAGATAGCAGAAGGAACCAAGGTTACTAAAGGCAGGAAAGTACATTGTAACAGATAATCCCAGGGAAATAGTGGGCCTTTAAAAATCATTTGAGCCCAGTTTGGGGGACTTTGAATGCTAGTTGGGTCTTGTTATGCGCTATAAAATCAGCTTAGTTTATGTAATCTTAATCATGTATTTATATGTATAAGTTATTTAAAATATAATACGTCAGACATGGTCTTTCTGTCAATTGTGTGACTATTTCTAATATCCAAGATCAGTGTTTATAATGGTGTAACCAGTATGAATTATCACATTACATGCACTTACCTAATGACATTTGCATAATTCAGTTTTTGCCAGTTGATGATTTGTTTGTTCATCTTTTCTTTCAATTACAGTGATTTGCAAGGAATAAGAACAAATGCCAAAAAGGATGGAAGTGACTGGATTCTCAATGGAAGCAAGGTGTGTAAAGAGGGCCTTCCAAAGCCCTTCTCTCCAGAGTCATGCCATGGGTAACAATGTCTCAAAGACTACTCATGATTGATTCTATCAGATCCAGGGATTCATGTGAGAATTGAGTTTACTGAAGTTATTTCTGAGACAGTAAGAAAGTTACAACATTTATATTACATAAACTCTGTGATAGTTTCTTCCATGTTCTATTTTGCATATCCCCTCACTAATATGGAAAAGGTTGCTTTAGCTTTCAAACAGCTCTTATCAAACCAGAAAAGGTGAAGGTAAGACTCACATTGCCAAATATGGAACAAACAAATTAATAAACTTCATGTTGATGAGTGATTGGGGGAAAAGGCTTTCTCATAAATATCAAGAGTGTCAAAAGATCCTAAGAGAGAAAGATATCTCATATAGAATTTGAGAGCCCTTCAGTCCTTCAGAAGGACCCCTGGTGATGCAGTGCATGAGCGCTCAGTTTGCTAACCGAAAGGTTGGTGGTTTGAAACTGCTAGCCACTCTGTGGAAGAAAGATGTGGCAGTCTGCTTCTGTAAAGATTTACAGCCTTGGAAACTATGGGACAGTTCTACTCTGTCCTGTAGGGTCACTATGAGTCAGAATTGACCCGATGGCAACGCATTCCTTCTGAGGATCATATCAACCCAATGATAGAACTGATGAGTCCCTCCAATTAAGGTTACAAATAGGCTCAGATGTAAATATATCCTTTAGAATATAAACTCCATGAGGGCAGACATTTTTTCTGCCTAAAACTGTGTCCGGTATACACTTAGCAAATATTTTTGGTTGACTAAATGTTAAGTTAAAGACTGAAGTTGTCAAGGATTTCATTTTACTTGGATCCACAATCAATACCCATGGAGTAGCAGTCAAGAAATCAAAAGACGCATTGCATTGGGCAAGTCTGCCGCAGAAGACCTCTTTAAAGTGTTGAAAAGCAAAGATGTCACTTTGAAGACTAAGGTGTGCCTGACTCAAGCCTGATATTTTCAATCGCCTCATATGCATATGAAAGCTGGATGATGAATAAGGAAGACTGAAGAATTGACAACTTTGAATTGTGGTGGTGTTGAAGAATATTGAGTATACCATGGACTGCCAGAAGAACGAACAAATCTGTTTTGGAAGAAGTACAACCAGAATGTTCTTTAGAAGTAACGATGGCGAGACTACATCTCCCATATTTTGGACATGTTATCAGGAGGGATCAGTCCCTGGAGAAGGACATCATGCATGGTAAACTAGAGGGTAGGTGAAAAAGAGGAAGACCCTCAATGAAATGGATTGATACAATGGCTGCAGCAGTGAGCTCAAGCATAACAATGATTGTGAGGATGGCGCAGCACTGGGCAGTGTTTCGTTCTGTTGTACATAGGGTCACTATTAGTCGGAACCGATTTGATGGCACCTAGCAACAACACAAGTGTTAAGTGAAGGAAGAATGTTCATTTTCTGCACTTAGGAAGTCCTTCCAAAAGTGTATTCTAAAGTTTGTGAAGGACTAGTTTTTGTTTGTTTGTTTTCTTTTTTAAAAATATTTTATTTCCAATTTATCATAGACTAATATCTTTGTATTTACAAAATCACAAGCTTGAATTGCTATAGAAGTTTCTAAATGCTCTCAATTTCTCTATTTATACTATCAGGGGTTGATAACAGTTTGTGGACTGGCATCATCTGTGGACCACATCTGAGCCACCCTTTTCTAGTAAATATTTCATAATCTAGTTTCATAATTATTAGTCAGAAAAATAATAACCTGTGGTCAAATACATTTGGAAAATGTGCACATCTTCTCAGTCTTTGATATGCTGATGTATATTGTGAATCCCTAAGAGCAGGGTATATTATATTTTATCCCCTAGGAGATTCTCTTTTCATAGGCTATCTTGAGTGACTGGTGTCCTTCAAACATGATGGACTCATGGAGGATTGTTTTTTTCTTTTTCTTCATAACTTCCTATACGTCCAATACTTGGATAGGGGACAAAGAGAGATATAAAACATGTTTTATCTGTTTTAGTCTTCTTGAGTTTGCTTTCTCCCAGTCATAAATTGCACGTGGACCTGAGTTATTGTGGCACATTATAGTATATTTGGGGTTTTGCAGGTATTCATCACGAATGGGTGGCTCAGTGATGTTGTGATAGTAGTTGCAGTCACAAATCGTGAGGCTTCCTCCCCTGCCCATGGCATTAGCCTTTTTCTGGTGGAAAACGGGATGAAAGGATTTATCAAGGGACAAAAGCTACATAAAATGGGATTAAAAGCCCAGGTAAGTCATAATAAATCATACTCAGGTAATGAGTTTATTATCAATCTGATAGATGCCTTACTTATGTAGAGAATATACATGTGGCACAATCAGCCTTGCTACAGTGAGTTCCTGAAATATGCTTTTCAGAGATTTATTCCACCATTTACACCACAGTGGCTCTTCCTGGTGGTCAGCAATGGAAGTGAACCAGGACATTTGAATGTCTGCTTTAGAACTGGCAAAGCTGCACGGTAATCGACTCTCTTTTTAGGAAATTGACTGAGGAAGATTATGGAGAACAAAAAATATTTTTTCTCCTGTGTGTTATACAGTTACCAAAAAAAAATTCATATTTAGTATGCGTTAGAATTCCTTGGAGCCTTGGTGGTACAGTGGTTAAGAGCTCAGCTGCTAACCAAAAGGCCAGCAATTCGAATCCAACAGCAGCTCCTTGGAAACCCTATGGGGCAGTTCTACTCTGTCCTGTAGGATCACTATGAGTCAGAATTGACTTGATGGCAATGGGTTGTTTCTGTTTGATTAGAAATTGTTAGTTCTCAGCACATAAATAACTGGACAATAGTAGAGCAAAAAAGACAGTGTGTTATAGTGGGGTAGGCAAGAGCTTTGGAATCAGACAGACCTGGGTTTGAATCCCTGGTTGACCGCTATTAGTTGTGTTAGTTAATTAGCCACTTCAACTTAGCTTCGATTTTGTTTGTTTTTTGCTTTTTTTTTTCTTAAATGGGAGTGATTATAGTCATCTCATCAGGTTATTGAGAAATTTAAATGAGGTCGTTCTCTACTTAATTCTGTGGTCTCTTAGGATACTGCTGAACTATTCTTTGAAGATGTACGTTTGCCAGCTAATGCCCTACTTGGAGAAGAAAACAAAGGCTTCTATTACCTCATGAAAGAGCTTCCACAGGTGAGAAATATTTAAAGAGTCCATCTTTTTGAGTAAATGATGAACTGGGATAGAATAACATAGAACTATAAAAATCCATGCATGCAAAACTTATGATCTAGCCAGTTATTTGAGTGTAACTTAAAATTGTAAAAAATGAGAATTTTGTAGGCTAGATAAATAAATAATTGAAGTCAGGGAAAACTAAGTGTTTGGGTTCTAATTCCTTCGTGGAATGGTTTTAGGTTCTTAACTATAAGTCAAGAACTTTCAGTTCTTTGTAAGAAAATGTCAGCTAAGGCGTTTGGCACATTTTTATGATAACTGAATCAAAGGGGAAAAGATGTTACGTTCAGACTGAAAAGCTTTAGCCACAAGGGTCAGTTCCCTCATCTACCCCTTTGAAGTTTAGGTTCATAGCGATCGTTGGGCCTCAAATGCCAGTTAAAGGGAGTATACGTCCTTGGTGACTGCCATGGCTTGGGCTAAGCATGAAATGGAACAAGAGCCAGGAACACGGGCATGGATATAGGATATAAGATGAGTTTAAAGTAACCAGGAGTACTTTTGCACTATTAGGCAGAATTTGAACTAGGCACTTTGAGATATTGATTCCCACAGAGATATTAGGATATATAGTATACAAATATCAAAAATAAAAATCAGCAACTATGGAATATCTTTACTGATCTATAAATGAGAGAGAGAAGGTGATATTAAATAAATTATATATTATATGCAATAAGGACACTTGTTCATAAAAATAGTTTGCTTTAGAGTTATTCTTACAGATGTCAAAATGTCATAAATCTCTGTAGATTTAATGAGTTAAGAAATAAATTAATCTTTAGGAGTTTTGTAAAGATTATTTATGGGATTTATTATGATTGAAATCATGTGATAGTCACTTGTGTAATTAGAATAATGTTCAAAACCTAATTTTTGGGTTATAGGAAAGACTATTGATTGCTGAGTTGGCAGTTTCAGCCAGTGAATTCATGTTTGAAGAAACCAGGAGCTATGTTAAACAAAGAAAAGCTTTTGGGAAAACAGTGGCACAGATACAGGTAAGTTTGTCATCATGGTTTAGTAGTAAATCTCAATTTGCTCATCTGAAATGGGTCCATGGTAAATATAAATTTGGGGAAATTTTCATTTAGGTGGTGTTAGAAGCCATGGAAGTGGATGAGATCACTTTGAGAGAGGCTTTAGAGAGTAAGACAAGAAGTCCTAGGATAGAGTCCTAATTAAACTACAAGATTTAAAGGTGGAGTAGTAAAGCAAGAGCCTACCAAGGAGAACTGAGAATGAACAGCTAGAAAGGAGAAAGAAAATGAGGCAAGAATTGTCACAGAAGCTAAGAGAAGAGAATATTTTGAGAAGGAAGGAGTGGTGCCAAATGGTGTTTAGACGGAAAAGAAGATGAAGCCAAAGAGTATCCATTGGATATAATGATATGGAGGTTATATTCGTGACTTTAATAAAAGCTGGGAGTAGAAGAGTGAATGGAAATGACGAAGTAAAGATACGCATGGCAGCCAACTCTTTCCTGAGTTTGGCTGTGAAGGGTAGTTGAAAGAAAGGATGGTAACTGAGGGAAGGAAAGGATTTGGGGGCTATGGGAGATATTTGGCAGTTATTAATTTTTTTGCTGTTAGAGTGAGAAATCATGGAGCATATTTTAATACCTAGAGAAAGGCTTTAGTAAGGACGAAGGCAAGCACTATATCAGTATAAAAAACCCATTGCTGTCGAGTCAATTCCAACTCATAGCGACCCTATAGGTCAGAGTGGAACTGCCCCATAGGGTTTCTAAGGAGTGCCTGGTGGATTCAAGTTGCCGACCTTTTGGTTAGCAGCTGAACTCTTAACCACTACGCCATCAGTATGGAATGGATAATCAACTGCATATCATCTTTGAGAAAATGGGAGGGTATGGGTGCTGAAGCACATGGAAAGATAGGCCTTTCCATCTCAGTAGGAGATATTCTTCTTCTATTGTAACAAGAGGAAAGGAAAAAAGAAGGGTAGGGGATGAGTCAGATACGTAGCTCTGTTGGTATAAAATTACAAAAGTTCCTTTCTGAGGCTTCTATTTCCTTTAATAGCAATAGGGAAGGTCAGTTCTTGAGAGAGAGGTGAGTGAAGGGGGCATGGAGGTATCCAAGGAGAGAGAGGAAGGTTTGAAATACCTTCAGAGTGATAAACTGAACCAACTAGAGAAACGTAGTAAGGCAATTGGCAGTAGTGAGGACCTAGATGAGGTTAGTGATAATGGATGTATAGTGGTACTTCTAACTTTTTTATGTCGTCTTTACTTGAAGGGTTCAGCTACCCAGGTACAAGAACAGAGAAGGTGAACGATTATGTTTATTTAAGATTTGGGTTTTGCCAGGAGGTTTAAGGTATTTGCAGAAGAACTCAGTGTATAGTAGCATAGTCACCAAATATGGCAATTCAATTTTAGACTCTCTAGTTTCTTGTATAAAGTCCCTGAATGGTGCAAATGTTTTGCCCTTTGCTACTAACCAAAAAGTTGGCAGTTTGAACCCACCTAGCAGTGCCTGGCAATCTGCTTCCATAGAGATTACAACCAAAGAAACTGTATATAGCTCAGTCCTACTGTGTAACACATGGGGTCACCAGGAGAGTCAGAATCAACTCGACGGCAGTGGGTTTGTTTGTTTTTGTTTTGTTTTGTTTTTTTGTTTAGTGTTAGGGGAACAGTTTATAAACAATGCAGTCATCAAATTGGTGAAACATCTTACAAGCAAAAAACCTGGAGTTGGAAATTCATTTGGAAAGTTTTAAGTGTAATGACTTTGACTGAAAGGTTTTGTGAAAGGTAAGGTAGAAATGAGACACCTTGGTAGCTTTTCAGGACCAGCATAAACATTAAGTTTAAGCATGGTTCAAATCCTAAGCATAGCTATTTGAATCTCTGCGGCCTAAGCAAGATGTATTATCTCTCTGGAAGTCTTTTTCTTATTTGTAAAATGTGAATAATGTAAGTTGCTACCTCAGAGGACTGGTGTGATCATTAGATGAGATAATACACATAAAGTGCTTAGAATATTGCCTAGCAGAGTAAGCACTTATTCAAGTTAGCGATTATTATTTTTTTCTTCTTACAAATGTACTGCTTCATTTTGTTCCAGAAAAAAGGAGCCTTTTTATAACTTCTTGCGGGTGTTCTGGACCTTCTCCATGTCGTTTTGGGAGTAATTTCCTACCTATATGTTCATCAAGTTAACTTTTTCCATCCTGTAAAGACTTCTTTACATCCTAACTCTCCTTATTGTCCTAACATCTAAAAACAGTTATTCTGAATCTATGAAAATGAGGCACACACTCAATCAAGGAGAAAGGAAATAAAAAAAAACAATGGCTTGACTTGCCTAAATTGTGATTTCCTTAAGAGCAAGAATGTTATATTTTATATTCTCTTCAATTTATAGATCAGTGATTTCCACATATCAGTGATTCTCAAGGGCAGTACTGTCTGCACTCCTGAGGGACATTTAGAATTGCCGAGGACAGGACTGCACAGTGACTGGGTGTGAAACTGGCATTAGTGCCCTGAGAGCCAGTGTTATTAAATGTCCAGTAATTCAGAGATAGCTTTGTATGACAATTAGTTGTCCCACTCACAATGCTAGTAGTATCCAGTTGAGAAATACGGGCATACATGATTTATTCCTTTTGGTTTCATCAAGCAAATATTTATTGATTGCCTTCGAAGGGTGGTGGTTGTTGTTGTTAGGTGCCGTCAAGTTGGTTCTGACTCAAAGCAACCCTGTGCACAACAGACTGAAACACTGCCCGGTCCTGTGCCATCCTCATAATCATTGTTATGCTTGAGCCGATTGTTGCAGCCACTGTGTCAGTCCCTCTCCTCGAAGGTCTTCCTCTTTTTCGCTGACCCTCTACCAAGCATGATATCTTTCTGCAGTGACTGACCCCTGCTAATAACATGTCCAAAGTATGTGAGACGAAATCTTGCCATACTTGCTTCTAAGGAGCATTCTGGCTGTATTTCTTCCAAGACAGGTTTGTTCGTTCTTTTGGCAGTCCATGGTATATTCAATATTCATCACCAGCACCATAATTCAAAGGCATCAATTCTTTTTCTGTATTCCTTATTCATTGCCCAGCTTTCACATGCATATGAGGCGATTGAAAACACCATGGTTTGGGTCAGGCGCACCTTAGTCTTCAAGGTGACATCTTTGCTTTTTAACACTTTAGAGAGGTCTCTTGTGGCAGATGTGCCCAATGCAATGCGTCTTTTGATTTCTTGACTACTGCTTCCCTGGGTGTAGATGTCGATCCAAGTAAAATGAAGTCCTTGACAACTTGAATCTTTTCTCCATTTATCATGATATTGCTTACTGGTCCAGTTGTGAGGATTTTTGTTTTCTTTATGTTGAGGTATAATCCATACTGAAGGCTGTGGTCTTTGATCTTCATCAATAAGTGCTTCAAGTCCTCTTCACTTTCAGCAAGCAAGGTTGTGTCATCTGCATATTACAGTTTGTTAATGAATCTTCCTCCAATCCTGATGCTCCTTTCTTCTTCATTTAGTGCAGCTTCTCGGATTATTTGTTCAGCATACAGATTGAATAATTATGGCGAAAGGATACAACCCTGATGCACACCTTTCCTGATTTTAAACCATGCAGTATCCCCTTGTTCTGTTTGAATGACTGCCTCTTGATCTATGTACAGGTTCCTCATGAGCACAATTAAGTGTTTACAATTCCCATTCTTCCCGATATTATCCATAATTTGTTATGACCCACACAGTCGAATGTCTTTGCATAGTCAATAAAACACAGGTAAGCATCTTCCTAGTATTCTCTGCTTTCAGCCAAGATCCATCTGACATCAGCAGTGATATCCCTGGTTCCACGTCCTCTTCTGAATCTGGCTTAAATTTCTGGCTGTTCCCTGTCAGTGTACTGCTGCAACTGCTTTTGAATGATGTTCAGTAAAATTTTACTTGTGTGTGGTATTAATGATATTGTTAGATAATTTCTGCATTTGGTTGGGTCACCTTCCTTTGGAATAGGCATAAATATGAATCTCTTCCAGTCAGTTGGCCAGGTAACTGTCTTCCAAATTTCTTGGCATAGATGAGTGGGCACTTCCAGCGCTGTATTTGTTTGTTTAAACATCTCAGTTGGTATTCTGTCAATTCCTGGAGCCTTGTTTTTCACCAGTGTCTTCAGTGCAGCTTGGACTTCTTCCTTCAATACTATCAGTTCTTGATCTTATGCTACCTCCTGAAATGGTTGAATGTCAGCCAGTTCTTTTTGGTACAGTGACTCTGTGTATTCCTCCATTTTCTTTTTCTGCTTCCTGCACTGTTCAGTATTTTGCCCATAGAATCCTTCACTATTGCAACTCCAGGCTTGAATTTTTTCTTTAGTTCTTTCAGCTTGAGAAATGAGGAGCATGTTCTTCCCTTTTGGTTTTCTAACTCCAGGTCTTTGCACATGACATTACAATACTTTGTCTTCTCCAGCTGCCTTTTGAAATCTTCTGTTTAGCTCTTTTATTTCATCATTTATTCCATTTACTTTAGTTACTCGATGTTCAAGAGCAAGTGTCACAGTCTCTTCTGACATCCATTTTAGTCATTTCTTTCTTTCCTATCTTTTTAATGACCTCTTGCTTTCTTCATGTATGATGTCCTTGATGTGATTCCACATCTCATCTGGTCTTTGGTAATTAGTGTTCAATTAGTCACATACATTCTTGAGATGCACTCTAAATTCAGTTATGCTCAAGGTCGTACTTTGGCTCTCATGGACTTGTTCTGATTTTCTTCAGCTTAAACTTGAACTGGCATATGAGCAATTGATGGTCTGTTCCAAAGTCAGCCCCTGGCCTTGTTCTGACTGATGATATTGAGCTTTTCTATTGTCTGTTTCCACAGATGTAGTTGATTTGATTCCTGTGTATTCCATCCAGCGAGGTCCACATGTATAGTCACCATTTATGTAGTTGTTAAAAGGTATTTGCAATGAAGAAGTTGTTGGTCTTGTGAAATTCTATCATGCTA